TACTCAGAATTCTTCACATTTTCCCGAAAATACTATGTTCAGTAGAACAGAATAACTGATCAATATTATCGAACTGCGTGCTATATAGGTTTGATGGTTATCTCCATACTGCTATTTCAGTTCAGTGCAGTTTTCACAACCATTAATCATGTGCCTTCTTGCGGTGGTTTTGATTGCTGTATTTTGGCTGCCTATTTGGACAAAAGACCAGAAGGAAGATTGGGATATTGGTGGCAGAGTCAAAGATAAAATATGGTATTCATGAAAAGTAAGGTTGCAAGGATAATGGGTGGGCGCACGAGCGCCAATTTTAGCGACACAGCCATATTGATCAGTGTCCCTAATCGCCGGTTACTATGATCTTGGGGTCCCCATCCATGGGGCCTAACTCGACCTATATGACCGAGGTCTTAGGTTGAACCCTCTTTTTCCCTTCCCCACCCATTACCTGACTCAACAAACATCGCTCTCAGTGACAATCTGTTTAGTGGCATGCGCAACACATCCCAACTAAAGTGGTCAATGGAGGTAGACCAATTGCTCCAGTAAACGACCGCGATTACCTAAAACTTTGCTTTTAGTCTCAGCATTGCTCGTTCAGTTCCCCCACCAGACTCGTACAACACGGTGTTCAAACACCGACGATCTATTTTTATCCTGTTCCCGTTATGGTCAGGTCGCTCTCTGCACTGTAGATCTGGANTAGAATTCCTTCAAAAAGTGCAATTTGGATCCGAGGATTGGCAGTTACTTTTGGATACTTATTGTTGTCTTTCTGTTGGCTGTCAGGTATGTTGTAATCTATCATTTTTTTGTGTTTTAAATTCCTGACAACATCAACTATTAAACATTTATTTTGTTTACGATTCCTGTAGGGTTTTATGGTGACTGATCATCTCCAGCTGATGATGGATTACTTGCTGAACAATGATCAACATCACCCGTACGGCACAATGGTTTCCACATTTTTACTGTTCAGTTTCAGTCTACTAAATCAAAATGACGTAAGTCATATAGTTCATAAGCGAGATTTTTATTCGGTTTTAGGGCTTTTACTCGCATTACTGGTTGCCATATTCGTAGCGGATGTTTTTCTGCGTTGGGAGTAGTAGTAGTATGGGGTGGGGGTGGGAGTCATCGGTTCTGACTGGCTGTCATCCTGAGTTCATCTTCGCGCATCATTTTCAATTCATCCGGTCATCTGTAACCTCGGGAAGTGAGAGAGTAAATTCATTCGGTGTCGAAGTTTGGCAGGTTGTAATTCCTAACTCAGATTTCACTGAATCTAGGTTTGTGGGAAACACTGCGAGATAAAGACTGATAGAAGGGTGGTGGAAAGCAGTTCATATGTATTAAAATGTTTATTAACTTCTAGTTGGGAAATTAGATAAGCATTTTGTTAGCGTGGCGTGCACAGCATTTTGTTTCGTTAGTGCCATTCAAAGTTCATTTGATCCTGTGCGAAGTAAAAATCGAATTCTAGTTGATCAAATTGAAAGGCTTTTAACAGTATGTTTTGGTCTCATCTGAGTCTTACTTAATCTTCCTTCCTCACGAATCCAAAGTTTTTTCTTATGTGTGATAGGCATCTGGAATGTAGATGAGCTTGTCGTATTTCCGTTTTTTATTACTTCCCAATTTAATGGTCACAGAGTAAACCACGCGGTTGTAGTATTCTAGTGTTTAACCAACCAACGACCAACATTTGCCTGGGGAGTTGGAGTATACTACATGAGGCTACAACACACTAGATGTTTTGTGTCGGGCACTGTAAAGTCGCTTATCGTCAAAGTTGGGTCACAGCGATAGTTTTTCAAGTTCGCAATTCTTCAGGCCGGGGATCTCGGATAAACCAGAGGCTAATTCGACAGCTTAAGATGGAAACCAGTAGTGCTTGTCTGTTTTATTTCTGCACATTTTTTTCTATTCACTTTTTCACGCTTAACGCTGTGTTGAAAAACGTTTGATCTCGAACGAAAATAAGACAATGAAAGGGTTCAATGCAAGGTTTCCGTACATTCGTTTTTGAACAACACAAAGAATCTGAAATACACTGAACATAGAAATGACTCATGTACAGTTATGTTACTACAATTTAAGTTCAATGGAAAGTTTAGAATAATATGACTGTTCTAGTCCAGTCGATCGTTTTATAGACACCGTGCACTGGTAATGGCTGTGGGTTAAGGGTCTCATTCGGTGAGAGTTTATCAATTCTCCATATTTTAAATTCATTTCCGTTGTAATGGAACACTGCGATAACCGATAGAGATCACTGAAGGCAGCTGTTTTCTAGTTGGGTAGCATCACCACGGTGCTAGATCGTAAACGTCGCAAACCAGTCTTAACAAGGAAGAAACCTCTGTCCGGCGCGTTTTCTCGATCGTAGGAGAGATTCACCGTATAAATTGTTTCACTATCTGCCTTTGATATTTTTACGGGCACTGCCCCAATTAATGCTTACTTTAAGAACAACTCGAATGTCCTAATGGTTGTGTGTTTCGCGGTGGTAACCAAGTGGTTATGTCACCAACTTGTGACCTGTGAGTCCAGGGTTCCGCTCCACCGCCGCCTGTCTTCCCAGACAGCCTTTGAATGGCCGCGGCCCCCCTTCCTGAATGTTGACTGTACACCTGTATATTCAATAAATAAAAAGGAAAGTAAAAATACATTTATTTTACTATTTATTATTGACCATCCATGTCCGGGTTCGAGCAGTCCCACAGTGGGTAGAAGAGGGTTGGTTGGATATCAGGTGCTGATGGATAATTCCTACGAAGGATGAAACAGTTGTTAAAGAAAACTGTGAGTCACTAGTATCGTCCCTCTAATTGAATTTTCATACGACCTAATTGTAGATGCTTGTCAGTTTTCAGCACGAATACCACTCGCTCAGAACAAAATAGTCTCATACAGCAGCCATTATATGTTGTCCAGATGTGTTTGAGTCGTTTCAAATCGTATAGATTAACCCACAAAATATACACTGACAATGTTCTTTTTACGTGATTTCTCGTTTTATTATAGTTTGTCAATGAACTCTGGGAAATATTTCCTCAATAATTTATTTGTTTCCTTTCATTGTACTTCAACATTTTTACTTTTATTGCAGCAAGTGTTGCATCCGCTAATTGGGTGTCTGTGCTCCTCCTTATCAAACCGAAAAAAATTCGATCAGATTGAGCTATGTAAGTGAGTTGTTACAGTTTTTGCTCAATACTTAGACCACGTTTTCTGCCTTCTTTTTCTGTTTGGTAAATATATACAACTTCTCTTTTTATTTTCAGACTATTTAACGGTTTTGACAAGGTTATCTGATCGATTACGAAAGGAATTTCGCCTGCATTGTTTTAGCCTAGTCGAGGTTGTTGGTAAAACCATAGTGGATAGCAGCTGCAGTCACTCATGTTGTCAGGCCGCTTTTGGGTTTCTGGCGAATTTAACGGTACAAGATGCAGCTGATGCGAAGCTCTCCAACGATATACCGTCAAGCGAGTTTGCCGCAGAAGGAGCAGATTATCTACCCGAACATTTCTACGCAATAATCGAACGCTATCTGATGCAAGTGGTTACCGTGCATTCAGTGTACTGTCTCGGTGAAGATTCCCTGCACCACAAAAATGATGGTGAAAGTGAAGCCTCTCTGGAGCTCATTGGAACTTGTCTATTGACCTGGGTGAGTGTTGGAAACAAGAGGTGGTGGATCTTAAACAATTTTTTTAAAATTTGGTCAGTATGAGATGTCATTACTTTCCCTGCATTATACTATTAAACCTCAGCACGTTCTGTGATAGTAAGGTACTTTGATTCACCCTAATAAATTTTGATCCAGATGTGTTTCAATTTTCCATTAAGGACGTTATAGTGATTGTTTTGCATCGCGAATTACGGTTACAGAACATACACATTCTACATTTTTCCTACTGGTTTGGGTTGAAAGTCTGTTTTTTTATGTGTGATAACTGTAAATAAACTGATCTGTGTGTTAAAATGCTCTCTTGTTCAAAACCATCATTGTAGACCTAGCGGTTCTCGTTGACTTTCGAATAAAATTCATGCCTCGTTAGTACCTAGTTTCGCCCTACAAATTCATCTACTGGTCCGGGCTCGTTATTAACGCATTTAGTCATTCCTTAAGAATATTGTGTCGGCCTCGTTAACAGGGTACGAACCTGTACGGGGAACCTCATTGGATTTCAAAGCAAGAGAATTTTTATGATGAAGGTATTCAGGACTTGTTCGTCAGAGCTGTTCTAGCCAAGGTGACTTTTTAGGGCTTCATAATAAGGGCCTTCGGCTAACCAAGACTGCAAGACTGATTTTTTCCCAGATCGCACTGCGTTGGAGTTCAGCTGTTAAGTCCAGGTCAGTGGTCCAATTGCACGTCATCTGCCGGCTTGACTGATATTGATATTTTCATCCAAAGGTCCTACCGATTAACCGCGCGAATAATAAATGCTCCATGCTCACATCTTGTCGTTTTGCTTTATTGCTAAGCTGGATACAGATCTAAATGTGACCCATTCGATTCGTGACTGTATTCATAACAAGCTAAAGAATAGGACTCATTTATTTCTGACCTTCACTGTAGTTTTGGTTGCGGTCGAAAAGTACATTTAAAGGTCTAATAACTATTGTTTCTGTGCCAAATCCGGCAGCGTCATTCTCCGAGACTCATTAACTAACGCTTTTTCATTTAGTATTTGGTAGCGACACTTCAACGTCGTTTTGATGGCCTGAAACGAATAAGGGAGTCTTATTTCGTAATTTCAATCACTTATTCAGAAAAGTTTTGGGGTATACAACAAAATATGTGTATAAGCCACTGTCACTTCTCCATACTGTAATAAGAGAGCGGTGAAGGGGGCAATGACTTTATCTCCAGCATCCAACAGGCTATTCCGGAATCTTAGCATATCAACGCAACCGTGTCAGCTTAAAGAAGAGATGCAGATTAACTGTCTCGTGGGTGGTGAGGTAGACGATCCAACAAAGGAGACGTTTCTGGTGGAAGATGCCGAACAACTTACACATCAACAACGACATCTGAAGGAAAAAATATTTACCTTTGAGCTCAATTAGCCTACTGACTTGATTCAAGGTTTCCGGCATTCCAGTCCGCATCGAGATCCACCAAATAAATTTGCCCACTAGCAATCATTATACCACGCCTGATAGTTGTTCACATCAGCGTACCAGATATTAAAATTACAGCGAAGATGGACATATGGCAGGTGTTCGCCGATCTCGATTGATTGACGTGCCGATACGAAACCTTAGCCCAGTTCCAGAAAACTTGAATTCTGGAGTCTACCTGTAATACAGAAACGACTAATACAAAAGCAACATAAGATACCTCAGATTGTGGGGTTCCAAGTACGCAGACATGGTTACCAACGTTGAGAAGTGACGTTCACGGAGCAGTTAGTAAGACGAAAGCCGTGAATGTACAATAATAGTAGTAATTAATAGGTGGGGATCATCGATCACAGTAGCTCGANNGGCTTTGGCTCAGTCTCACGATATGAAGGTAAAAAGTTAAGCTGACAAAACGAAAGCGGGATAGCAAGGTATACAATTATAATGCAATCTATCTATCTATCTATCTATCTATCTATCTATCTATCTATCTATCTATCTATCT